AGATGGGCGCCCTCCCAAAACACAGTAAGAAGCTTCATACGGCCAAGATTCATCAAATAAAAGTCATACGAAGTACTATTAAAGTATTCTCCCAACAAAAACTCCTTCAGAAAGCCCAAAAACCTCCGCCGAGCGTACCATCAATGATCACTAAAATACTGGCTCCTACCCAGACTTCACCACATTACCGACATACAAATCCCGCAGGCGTCGATTCTCGATCCGCGTCTTGTGCATGTCGAGCAACTCAAGTCGCCCCTCCCCTGCAGCCTTCTCCAGGATCTCCAGCAACCGTGGTGTATCCGCTCGGCCTCGGCGCCGGCTAAACCTCAACTTCCTCCGAATCTGCTTAAGACTGCCGTTGTGGCGGATGTATAGATCGATTAGCTCTTCCTTTTCTTCGCGAGACCCAACGTAGGCGGCTTCGCTCAGACGGGACCCTCGGCTCTTCTGCTGAATTTGAGGTTCCGGTTCGTAGGGTCGATACATCCACTCCGGTATCTTGACAACGATACAGTCCTCGATACGCGTGTCCGTGTTGGCTGGGTTCTCTGGTGTTGGGACTTGAGGGGGTGTGGGCTTGGCCGCCCGCGGCGGGGTGCTGGTCTGCCGTAGGTCGCTGTTCTGCGGCGGAGCGCTGCCCTGCGGCGGAGCGCTGATCTGCGGCGGGGCCGTGGTCTGCGGTGGTGGTGTTGGCGAAGGAGGAACAGGAGACAAGGTGGACAATCTAGAGAGGGAAGACACGGGCGAGGAAGCTAATGCATTTGGTGCCGATGGCACCGGCGTCGCAGATATGCGATCGAGGGCTTGGGCTTGTTTTTGGACCTCGCCATGAACTGGCGGAACCGGTGTGGTGCGTTTCCAGAAGGGCCCTTCCCTAGCTTTGAGGGTCTGAATGATACGCCTTTTCGGCCGGGGCGGGTGCTGTGAGAGCGGTTGTGCCGACGCCGCTCTCTTCCGCGGCGTTGGCACCGGTGTTGGCGATGAGAACGGAGCCCCCCTGGGAACATCCGAAGCTGCTCTGGTGGTTTCCGGTCCTAATTCCACCAAAGGAAAGACTATCTCGGTCGTAGGTAGTACTTTATCAACGGCAATAGGGTCCGCTGGTGGGAGCTCGCAATGCTCTTCCGCGTCTTCGGGAGTCTGCTTCTCCACAACGACAGGGGCCTCCTCCCTCTCCATCTCAGGGGCGCTGTCAACGACGTGAAAACGGGGCTCCGTGACATCAGACTCCTTGGAAGAAAGGTCCTCAATTATTGTAACGATGGGCTCAGTGACAACCATAGGTTCGTCTTCAACAAATGGTGGCTCATCTTTGATGGAAGAATGCGCAGCCGCAAAGTCCGCGGCGACGCTCGGACCATCTTGCGGGGCGACGGGCTGAGGAGTTGGGCTCTTCTTCTCCTCGACCTCAAAGAGGTCATCGGAATCGAAGACCTCGTCAACCTCGGCGACCTGAGAGCAGCGCGGCGCCGACCGGCGCGGCACTCCTTCAGGAAACACGCGCCGCAGGGCGGCTTGAAATTGCACCGGCGGAATGGGCGCTGTTGACAGTCAGCCTTGAGGGATTGCGACATCACACCGACAACGGAGACCTGCCTCTCTTCCCCGTGCGCAAACCCCGCCTACCGAGACTCGGCAGGCGTCTGTTTTCCTTGAAGGTTACCATGACGCTATCTGCGACTGGCTGGCTTTGGAGGATTGGTACCTAGGCGGTGCTGATCTTGAAAATTGAAGAGAGGGGATAAGTTGCAGGTGCAAGGATGGTGGGATATGGTTTGCGTGCGACAAAATGTTGCATGTGGGGCCTTTGACAAGGCTATTTTATGAAAGTGCCCTCCAGCACGCTTTCTATTCCTATTCGGGGAATACCCGACCTCAGATGGTCGAAACAAACAGGGGCCAGCTTCCGAGGTAGCCCTACGTTCTGGCGGTAAGACAGTAAATGCTCTCCAAAGGTGAGTAAATTGAAGACGAATGGAGAGAGAAATGGAGAGAGAAATGGAGATTTTCTAAGGTTGCGCACGAGGCCACAACATGATCTACCTTACAGGGTCCCGGCAAGGCGCTTTTGGAGATTCCATTCAAGGGAAATGAAACAAAAGGAGCTGTGTTGCAGCAAGAAAGGTATGCGCATGCTATCGGCCCCCTTTATATCCTCCAAAATCTCGGTTTGCATGAGCTGTGACGTGGTTCAGTTTCCCCTGTCACGTTGCTTGGTGCGGGCAAGCAGTAACATTGCTCATTCTCACGACATGCAGCGCCCCACCTTCCACACACGCGGCTACAGGTATTTCGATGTCCCCCCCCCAAAATGTGACATGACTCGCCCCAGCGCAATCAAGCCCTTCTTCTTGCTCTGGAAGATACATCTAGAATTTCTAGAAATATTACAAGTTTGCGAAGCGCTTTCAGCACAATCGTTGGAAGGCGTGCACGCGTCTCAATGCCAGGCATGCGGCTTCCCAGTCCACATGGAGGGTGCCCCACATCTCCCCAATTAGTCCCCTGTCGCCAGCACAATGATCTCTCACCCCGAACACAGACCGCAAACAACCTGGAAGGGGTAAAAGCTGTCTACACTGGCAACGAATGCGACAAAGGGCGCTCCTGCAATAGCGACACCCAACACTGGCTCCAACCCCATACCTAGGATCTATCCAAACATGAATCAAAGCATGATCCCGGACGACTCGTCTTGCGGCCACCGGGGCCGCGACAATTCACAGAGCCCCGAGAAATCTCCACGACTTGTCGGACGCGAAGGCGCAGCGGCAACAATGCTAAACTCCACACCGAGAGACGCGAACCTCTCCTGCAGTCCCGCCGCCTTGAAATGGCGCGAGTCGTCGCAACGAATCCATTTGAGGTTCGGCATCACTCCCTTCTCAACGTCCTGACGGAACGAGCACCAAGCACTCCCGTCAAACGATGGCACCGAAGCGGCCCTGATAATCTCGAGACCCCGAAGCGTGGGCGGGAGAAGCCTCGCGAAACTATCCACGTTGCTAGGGCTCGGGATCACCTGCCAGCGTGATGTATATTCGGCGGCCCTCTGGTAGCGTAGCCACTGTGACGCCGTGCTGTATTCTTGTGCGTATACCTCTTCTGATGTCAGAGACGCCAGCGCCAGAGCCGGAATCACAAGGGTCTCCAGGGTGGTAAACTGCTTCAGCGTGCGGCGAAGGATCCGAACCGCATCTTTCATGCCGGGCATCGTCAACTCGTTGCAGTCGAGGTGAAGATGGGTGAGGTTTGGAGAGTTCATCCAGGCGGTCATGTCGTGGCTCGGTCTGAAGTATGGGTGCAGTGCGGAGATAAGATGGAGACGATGCGGCGAAAATAACTGGGCCAGCTCACGATTATCATGGTTCTGGCCGCCGACGATGCGCAGGTCGGTGACGCTTGCAAAGGGAGACGCAGCTGGCCAAGTTGACTCGCTGGCTCCGAGATTGCGCGACCATGAGACCACCTCCTCATGGACTTCGTGAGGCTTGCGGATTGTCAAGGTTGTGAGTTGGCATGCTCGGCCAGGGAGGTGATGGGGAAACCAAGAGGGCAGTCCCTGTGACCAGTCGAGGCTCACAAGCTCAAGGTGACGGAGCTTTGGAAAGCTCCACAAGGTTGGGGTAGCCGACTCTGGGAGGTCCAAGACGCCGTTTCTGAGGGCTCGGTGTCTGAGTTGGAGTTCAAGGTGGTGGTAGTAAACCTGGGGGTGGTTGAGAATGTTGTTTCCGCGGGTTTGGCTGTGAAGTTCGCGGAGTTCAGCGAGGTGATCGAGAAAGCTGCGGTTGTTCATCATGGTAGATGGAAAGTGGTTGATGTATCGCGTGGAGTTGAGCTCCCAGCTGTTTTCGATCGCGCCGGCAGCGGACAGCCAGTCGCCAGCGCTGGGGAAACGGATATGCTTGGGATGAAAGTACCAGTTGCGACCCGAAGTGTCTGGCAAGTGATACACCATGTGTTCTAGATTGGGCATCAGTCCGCACAAGGCCCATGGGAGATAGCTAGCGGCTACATCTGGGCCGTCCAGCCCGAGAGCCCCCGAGAAGATGTTGCAACCAAGCGCCGCTTCGATCTTTACCACCAGCTGGAGGGTCGTCCACAATTCATGGTGCACGAAGACCTTGGGATCTAGGATGAACTCATCAGCAAAGATTTCATCGTCATAGAAAGCGAAACCCACGTACGAACATAGGCCCTCTTGATGCGCGCCGCCAGATCTGGCCGCTTGATGATGGTATCGACGAACGACTTCAGGGGTTCAAATGTTTGGAACGCGCATTCCTGATAGAGCAGTGGCTGTAGCGTGTTGCGCATCAGCTTCGACACGAGACAGAATTTGTACAGACTTCTCAAGCCCTCTGCACTTTGTGCTGTTGACGTGGCGAGCAATGCGCCGGGACGTGATTGAATCCCTGGAGCATATTGAACTTTGGCAATCATCAAAACGAGCTCCATTGGCAGGTTTCCCCATACTGAAGGGTCCATGTCGACTCGCTTGGGGTGCTGTCCGCGCGCACTTGTGTCGGCCCTGGTCAGAAACTAGGGAAGATAGTGGCCGCGAGATGGAAAGTTCCATTTTGCGACCTTTTAAAGGGGATCAACCCAATAAGGTTGGGCGAGCCGACTTAAGGTTATGCCATGGTGTACCGAGGCAAGGTCAGCATGCAGCCCCTCGTCTGCTTGCAAAGCTTCGAACGTCGATTATTAGTGATAAAGCGCTAACAGCTAATGGTGGCGCCAACACTACGTCGCGATAAGGAAGCATCGTCGTTCCCAGTTTGGGTTAGCGCCGTCTTCATGTTTCCCTCGGTGCACCGGCGCGGTCGGCCAACTTCTTGTCGGCCTGGCAGTCCAAAATGAAGCTGAACATCAGGTGTGCCATTGGACCTTACTGTGCGGCAGGGAAAGCAGATAAGATTCCAGATATGGGGACCGCTTTTCTGCCCGCAGGGATGGAAATGGATAAGTGAGAATTTCCACCAGCATTGACACTCGCCTTCTTAGCTCAGTGGTAGAGCGCGTCACTCGTATTTCCCCTTCTAAAATTGGTTCTACTATGACGAGGTCGCTTGTTCGATCCAGGCAGGAGGCAGTTCAGTAACTTTTTGCTCGTTTCACTTTGAAATCCCCATCTCACCGAACATTTTTGGTGTGGAAATCCAACGCCTTTTGGCCCACTGATTGGCACGATTCGACCTTGGAGATGGAGGTGTGGGGATCGGCCTGCATGTCGTTGGCGGGTTGCCCCCGCACCCCGCATTTTGGTCGTTGCGGCGGGAAAATCTTCCCAAGGAGAGGCCAGAACGACCGGACCGGTCTCTGTGCGGAAGGACTCACCCCTTTCTCGCGGCAACCATTTTTTGGACTCCGCAATGCCAGACGCCGAAGGACTTCATCGCTGCCCGGTCTGCTTCAAAGGGTACAAGAGACGGGAGCATCTGCAGCGCCATCGCAGCACGCACACATCAGAGCGCCCGCATCGTTGCATTGTCTGCAACGCTTCCTTCCAGCGGACGGACGTGCTGAAGCGCCACCTCCAAACCTGCGACGGCACCTCAACCATCTCTTCCAATCGCCGCCGAGCCTGCGATCGTTGCGTGCGTCAAAAGAAGGCCTGCAACTCGCTCCAGCCCTGTCAGAACTGCGAGAAGCGCGGTGTGCGGTGCGAGTATTTTAACGCGTCGTCGGCACCAGCAGGAGCATCGTCGTCGTCGTCACCATCGTCGCCATGGGACCCACCTGCAAAATTGGGGATCGATGCGGGTGTTGATGGTGGACTGACCCCCCGCTTCGAATATCGGGATGTTGAACTGGACAGCATTGCGCCATCAATTCCGGATTCTTCGCATCCCTTCTCCACCGGCAACAACCACAATACCGATGACGCGTGGTTTGACATTGACTACAACCACGAAGCAGCTTTCGCCCAACCACCAGAGGACACCGACTTGCCACCGGTTCCAGAATATCGGGGTTATTCGTTCGAATTTCTGTATGACTTCACCAGCCGAACTGGGCTCGTCTCGTCATTTGAGTGTGCAACCTTGGAACGTCGGCAACAGATTGTGGCGGCCTTCGACCGCGCCTACATCAACAACCTGGACCCGTTCACCACGTCATCGCTGCAAGTGGACCCAACTGCGGACGGCCACTCGACTTCTGGACAGTATATTAACATCCATGGCGACGTCGTGCAGCCGGCCGTGAACGGAATGTCATGGCTCAGCAGCCCTATTGTAGCCAAACTTCAAGACATTGTCCTACAAATCAGGCAAGTCGTGACTTTCCGCCCGAACAATACCGTGGTGGACTTGACTTGGACGCCGGCGTTGGAGCAGAGATGCATTGAATTCTTCTCTCCCTACAAGTTCGCCAAGTTCATCGAGCTGTACTGGTCGGTTTGGCATCCCAATGTCAGCATTATCCACCGGCCAACGTTCAACTATGCATCTTCCAAATCGATACTCCTCGCCGCAATGGCACTGCTTGGTAGGTGGACAAGGCGAACTCTACCCCGGGTGGGCGGCACATGCTAACGTTGCCAGGGGCTTGTGTCTCCCCAGATACTCAGGACAACCTAGACGCGAGGTTATGGCTCAACTGCGTGGAAGAAATGGTTTTCACTGATGAGGACTTTTGCAGCGACGTTGAGTCGTCGGACGAGATCGTCCCTTCGAGCACCATGCTGCCAATATCCCCCAGACTCCAAGCTCTGCAGGCGGCGTATGTTGTATGTCTGTACCAAAACTGGGAGGGGACAGATGCGAGTAAACGGCGAATCCGCCGCCACCGGTTCAGCACCGTAGTCTCAGTAGGCTGCCCGCAGCGCTCCTTTACCAGCTCGCTCCTCGACTAACTCGAACAGGTTGCGAGAGATATAGGCATTGAGAACGCTCGCCATCTCGACTACAGCAGGGAGTTCGAATTCCACTGGGACGAGTATGTGATCAGGGAAGAACTCATCAGGTCAGCCCTTCCCCTCAACCTTCCCGTTCTGCCACCCTCTGACTCCGTCTGACTCGGTCTGTAGAACATTCATCTGGATATTCCTATTAGATACCGCCTTTGTCATATTCAACAACTTACCTCACAGGATGGTGTTCAAGGAGATGAGGATGCACATGGCCAGCCCAGACGCATGCTTCCAAGCTGTATCGGCCGGAGAATGCTTCCAGCAAATCCGTGCTCTGATGCCGCCCTCGAGCCCCTTTTGCAGCGTTCCTCTCCGCGACGCCATCGAAGGCTTTTGCGCTGAAACGATGGCTGCGGAGACGCAGCAAAGGTTTTCACAGCTGGGGGCCCTGAACCTCTTCACGATTGTCTCAGGTGAGCAACGGACACCGCGAGCCAGACCCTCGTACTGACCCTGCCCAGCGTTCCATTACATGATATTCCAGCACCAGAACTCTCTGGGTGTCGTTGGTCAGCTGGTGCCCATCCGCAACGGGCTGCGGAACTGGATCGCGGTGTGGGAGCTGTACTTCGACTCGTGGTCGTTGTCTTACCCTCAAGACGCGTCCCTCCCACTCGAGACGATGTGGAAGAGAATGGGATTCATCCGCTTCGCCCCTGAATACTGGCTCCTCGGGGTCCTTTTGACAAACCGAATCTCGGGGGCAACAATGCAATCCCAAGACCAAAGCCAAGACGTGGGCGATGCTGGCCGATCATCCTTGCCGCGCGCAGCGGCTGCGGGGAGTAGCGCGCAGATCAAGCCCGTCGAGCCAATCCTTGAGAAGTACGATCAGACGAGCATGCGCCAAGTCAACGATCTTATTACCGACTTTCAGAGATTCCATGTCGAATGAGGGCGGCCAAGGGCGCTAAAAGGAGCCGCATTGCGGTTTTGGGTCGGCTCACACGAGCATCCGGGGTGGGGACGGGGTCGTCCCCGTCTTTCGGCAATGCGACGTTCGGAACCGGCAAGGAAAACCTGCGCAAAACCAGGCACGAGATCAGACGCATTGGCTGTACCTACCTTGCTGCTCTGGGAATCCTAGGCCGCTGAGAAATTTGACTCGTCCGGTTCGCCGATTCTCCCCACAATCCGCCCCTGAGAGATCTCCGCTTCCCACATCGGCTCCGTGCCAAGCGCTCCCCGCAAGCAAGCATCCCGCCCCCGCGTCCGGTTGCGCCTCGGGACCCATCCCACATCGGCTCCGATACGGGAACTTGTACGCAACCGTTTGCCGAGGGTATCGCCAACACAGGGGGCTCGCTGCCAGAGGGCGTCGATACTTTTTTCCTACTTTTATCCCGCCGCCCTTCCTCTTGCCGTCTCAAACAGCCCATCATCCAACCATCAGCCCATTCCCGTCTGCCCCCCCTGTGAGCCCTTCAGTCCTTCTCTTAGTCGTTTCAGACGGTATTCGGCGCCCTGATGGCGGTCCTTCTCACCTACCTGCCCGTCGCGGTGGCGGTCGTGGTCGTCATCCGCCTGTTGATGATTGGCCGGAGACCGAAGAACTTTCCGCCAGGCCCGCCGACCCTCCCCATCATCGGCAACCTCCACCAGGTTCGTGCACCACTTCTCTGCGCCTGCATATACGACTTGAAAGTTTGGCTCACACGTTGCGCAGATGCCCACGCGGGATGCCCATCTCCAGTTCGAGAAATGGGCTCGCGAATATGGCCCGGTCTACAGTCTCATCCTCGGAACCAAGACCATGGTGGTCTTGTCCAGCGACCAAGCCGTCAAGGACCTCTTGGACAAGAAGAGCAACATGTACTCTCACCGTCCGGAGATGTACATTGGCCAGACGCTTTGCTCCGGAGACCTTCGCATTCTCATGATGGGATACAGCCCGAGGTGGCGCACCAGCCGCAAGCTCGTGCACACCCTCCTCAACATCTCGGCTGCCAAGTCCTATGTCCCCTACCAGATCCTCGAGAACAAGCAGATGCTGTATGAGATGCTCACCAAGCCGGAGAGCTTCCTCCACAACATCCGTCGCTACTCCAACGCTCTCACCACCACCATGGTTTTCGGCTGGCGCACTCCCACCTACGAGGATGAGAAGATGAAGCAGCTCTTCGATGGCTTCAGCGAGTTTGCCGACATCAACCAGACTGGAGTCGCCGCTCTTGTCGACTTCTTCCCCTTCCTTCGCAACCTCCCCGACTTCCTGATGCCCGCTGTCCGCAAGGCTCGCGAGATGCACAAGAAGGAGAAGGCCCTGTATCTCAGCCACTGGCTCAAGGCCAAGGAGGAGACCGCCGCTGGAACCATCACCCGCTGCTTCTGCGAAGAGCTCGTTGAGGCTCAAAAGTCCGAGGGCTTCACCGATGACCAGGCCGCCTACATCTCTGGTACTCTCCTCGAGGCCGGCTCCGACACCACCTCCAGCACTCTCTACGCTTTCGTCCAGGCCATGATTCTCTACCCCGAGGTTCAGCGCAAGGCTCAAGAGGAGGTTGACCGCGTCGTTGGCAAGGACCGCCTGCCCACCATGGAAGATGAGCCCAACATGCAGTACATTCGCTCCATCATCAAGGAAACCCTCCGCTGGATGCCTACCACCATCATGGGCGCTGTTCCCCACGCTGTCACCAACGACGACTACTACAATGGCTATCTGATTCCCAAGGGCGCCGGTGTTGTCAACAATGTCTGGTCGATCCACATGGACCCCAAGCGCCACCCCGACCCCCGCCGCTTCGAGCCTGATCGCTACAAGGATGACTTCCAGTCCCTCGGTGACGCCGCTGCCAACCCTGATGCCTCCAAGCGCGACCAGTTCACCTTTGGTGCTGGCCGCCGTATCTGCCCTGGTATCCACGTTGCGGAGCGCAGCTTGTTCCTCGGTGTTTCTCGCATGATCTGGGGCTTCGACATCAAGCCTGCCAAGGACGCCAACGGAAACGACATCATCCCCGACCAGGAGAAGCTCACGCAGGGATTCGTCTGCATGCCTGAGGAGTTCCCCGCTTCGATCACGCCTAGGGATGAGAACAAGGCCAAGATCATTCGGGATGAGTGGTTCGCTGCTGAGGCTGAGTGCCTCGACCCCGAGACCAAGCAGTGGAAGCAGTCTCCTCTGGGTGTCTCTTTGGGAAGGACTAGGGGCAAGGCTTAATTAAAAACACAGGAAT